AAGCATAGAAGTTTTTTATTTTTTCTTTGAATTGGAAATCTCAAGTATGTCAAGGATTCATAGTCAGACATCGCCATATTTAATTCTGCTCTCTTGACGTTTCCAATATTAATAACATTTCTTTATTGTTTATTACAAATTTTTTTAAAGGATTACATCCTATATATACTTAATGGGATTTCTTTCTATGGAAAGTAAAAACATATATTATAACAGATGAAAATCAACTATTGACAAAAATAGATTGGCTATTGTGAATGAGCTATAAATACAATACTACTAGAGGAGAAAAACGACAACATTATAATGCATTCTCCTTCATAATCTTATTAAAGCTTGTATAAAATAGTACATAAAAAATAAATATATAGTAAATGTAATAATATTTTAATGTCATCCTGTACTAAAAATAGGCCATTCTTTTGTTTCTTAATATCACTTTAATAACTGCGCATAGTAATATCAAATAAGCTCTGTTTTACAGATTGTTCAAATATAAATGGTAATTTCTGTAAAATCGTATCTAAATATTTTTGTTTAGGGATATTTGAAACTAAACCATATTTTGTATAAAAATCTGACAGGTTTAAATTAAAGATGTAATATGAACATTTTTTTGTTTTTTAGAAAGATTGATTGGTTCAAGTATAATTTTTTTAAAAGAATATTTCTGAGTTGCCAATTCACACTCCAATTTTAGAACAGTATCAGTCATGCAGACAATCCTATATAAGTGACTAGTAGAATACATAATATATTTTTTTTCTGGTCATGAAATTGAAAAAAAATTCGAACTAATGATAGTGATGTAAGTTTTGAAAATTTGGATCACATTGATGCATGGTTTTGGACCATCACTATAAACTTCAGTCGTCATATTAATTAATATAAAACTAAATCCAAAATAAATGAAAAATAGATTAAAAAGTATTTTTTTTTGTAGAATAGAAAATATAGTTAAAAAATTAAAAGATAAAAAAGAACATTAATTTTAAATATGTTAGTTTGTGGTACAGACCCCTTTTTATGAAATTATTTTTTATTTATTTATAAATGATTTGGGCTCTTCAACCACCTGGGTCATTTTCGCCCAATATTAAAATTTAATCAATTACTACACACATAACAAAACTACAGCTAACAAATACAGTTTAAAGTTTAAAAAGTTTAAAATAGTTAGAGATGAATATGATAGTACAATTGAATTAAAATTATAAAAATTGAAAGTTAAAGGAGATAAATTAACAAAAATAAAAATAAAAATAAATGATTTTAAGAACAAAAGCTAAAAAAAAATACATTTTTAGATAATAAAAAAATTAATATTAATAGAAGCGAAGTTAAAGAGTATAATGTAAATATTAAAAAGTACAAGAACCCTTCAAATTAAATATTAAAGATTAGAAAAAGATAAGTTAACAGTTAACAAGAACATTTAAAAAAAAAACGTTAATGATTTCAGGAATATAATCTAAAAATACGGTTTAAAAAATAAAATTAATATTAAAAGAGGGCAATTTAGAGAGCATCAAATTATTAACATCCGTCAGAAACTTCGTGAAGAGCTACTTCTCATAGTAACGTACAACTATTCGATTTACTAAAATTCTCGAAATTGGGACGCTTTCAATCGGGATATTTGCAAACTTTGTCTATTTAATTAGGTACTAAAAAGTCTAAAATATCAATTTGCTTTTCACTTGAATCTTAAGATAATTTGAGCACAAAATCGAGCAAAAGGGTGACTTTCAAAAATATTGATCCGTTTGGTGTTACCAACACTGCCAAAATTTCAAAAAAACGATGTTTTATAGGCCAAACGGCCATATATTTTTGTAGGCTGCCTTTTTTCCGAAAACAAATGGATATTTACACGTTTTTAGTACCTAATTTAATAAACAAAGTTTGCCGACCTCTAAATTGAAAACGCTCCAATTCCAAGAATTTTGGAAAACATAATAGTTTGCATAATGTACCTTATACTATGTTTTTAAATGAACTTTATTTATTTTTATTCTCATAAATTTATATATCATAGAAATATCACAGCTAATTTTGTTATCATTAGAGGCCGCATTAAGGTTAAGTAGTGATAATGGAGGCCGCAATAAATTTTCATATTTTACTTTTGCTATTTTTATTCATGAATAAATACAAATTACACACATATATTAAACTTTTATTTTATTTATTTTCAAATTTTCTTAGCTAAGTAACTAAATATTAATTTATTCTTCATAAATATTACGCAGAAAGTAAGAGGAGCCGCAGGTTTCCCATCTATATTCTAGAGATTGAAGTCAGTACATACACTACTGTCATCGAACGCTAGTTGTTTTAATATTTTTATAGTACGGAAAATTGAAATTAAATTAAATTAAAAAGTTATAACTTTTTGTGATTATTTTTTCTCTTTGTCCACATAAATTGCTAAACTAATTGAAGTGTAGTTTTAGGGAATATGCAGCGATTATATTACATATAGGTTCAGAGTCTTGGAAAATGTAAACATTTTCAATAAAAAAATCGTCTATAGTCTAATTATGAAAGTAACTGAAAGAATAAAAAAAGGAAAGTAAATTTTGCTTGGTTTTGATTGATATCTTGCTTAGAGGTTAATATTTTTTCCCTCTACTTTTGTATTCTCACTGTTACAGACAAAAGTGATAATAAGCAAGTGTTATGAAAACTATTAGTATCAAATTTGAGCCGTGGAGGGCCGTAGTACCCATCAACCTTGATTAAATCACTTGATTTCATAAAAGAAGGTACCTCATCCAACTCCTTTTTATTCGCCTTTTAATGGATATATCAACCGCTGTCATATCAGATCGGATATTTAGTTGTTGTACGTCGGTGAAGTTCGTTATTTACTTACTGTGGAGCGTCTGTTATTTTAGATGAAATTCGGTTTTATTGTGCCTATTTTGGTAAACTATAAATCTGTAAGGCTATGTCCATATTGCTTAAATATAGATGTATATTTAGTTTCTATATATATTTTTTAAAATGGTGAATTATTGTTTTAAATGAATAACTAGCCCTAGTTATGGAGAAATTAATTTCATCTTAAGGCTTTGTGGTCGTGAAAGTTCTCTAATGCATGTAACAAGTATTATATGATAAGAATTATATGAGAATGGCCACTGGATATACATTAACTGGTATCCACACTGATGAATTTAAAATGTAAAACATTATATTGGTTGGATTATCGAAAATACTCTACTTAAAAGTCATCTAAAATTAATATGGAAGCATAGACACAAACACATCTCTTTCTCTCTCACTTTTTCGTTGTCTTTTATCTCTTTATTGCTTATTTATTTATTTTTTTGTATTAATTTATTTTACTTTTTCATCTGATTTATCATATGTGTTACCTAGTTTTGGAATTCCTTACCCATCTCCATTCTTGAAACCTCGTCATTAACTTCATTTAAACATCAATTATTTCTCCATCTCCAAAATAACCAAACTTTCAGATGTATCTTAGTATATTCTACAGATACAGATATTTACTCCTTCTTTGTTATTTTATATCTTCATATTAAAAGTATCTTACAATTATTTTGTTACCTTAATTTTCGTTGATTCTTAGTACAAACCTACCAATATATATTGATATGTGAATATATGTCTGAATGTATGTATACGTATGTAATTTCTGTATTTTGATAAATTTAAATTTGAATGAAAAATAATTTTATTATCCTGTGACTGATGTTCTTTTAAAATAAGTTGATCTTTAACTCTTCCAAGAAGACTGTAGTGATTAATAATTTTATTGTAATTATTTTGAATTTTAAAGGAAGGAGATGGTCCGCGATGGCTGTCATAAATAGGCTAAATAGTGGCAAAACTATTTTATTTAAAACCAACGTTTCGACCCGACTTTGCAGGTCTTCTTCAGGGCTAGATCGGACAGGATACAAAAAATATAAACAATGTGAATAAGCATATTCAAATTATAAACAGTAAGTACATTAAAATATAAACAGAGTAAGCTAAACCACAAGATCCTAAACTGAAGTAAACATGTGGTATCATTTTTTAAAGTGTAATATATAATATATGCAAATGTTAATATACTTCTACAGATCTACGGGAGAGATTGAAAAAGAAGGAAGAAGGATATAATATGAAATAGTAGACATATAGGAATGTGGAGAAAGAAAAGTAAACCAAAAATGTCTATTATTTCATATTATATCTTTTTTTCAATCTCTCCCTTAGATCTGCAGAAGTATATTCACATTTGCATATATTATATATTATACTATAACAATTACCATCTATTTACTTCAATTTAGGATCTTGTGGCTTAGCTTACTCTGTTTATATTTTAATGTACTTAATGTTTATGATTTTAATAAGATTATTCATATTATTTATAATTATTTTTTCTCTAAATATTATGTAACTTCCACAATTCTCTATATTTTTTGTATCTTGTCCGTTCTACTCCTGAATAAGACCTGTAAAGTCGGGTCGAAACGTTGGCTTTTAATAAAATAGTTTTGCCACTATTTAACCTATTTATGACAGCCGGACCATCACCTTCCTTTATAATGCAACTGTCAACTATTACATATTTAACTGTTGCTTTTTTTTTATAATCATATTATGATTTTATTGTTTTTTATGTGATTTATTCAGAAAAAATGGAGCTTTATATTTTAAATATCAAGTGATATTTTATTTAATTGATACATGAATCATGCAATACGCATAGAGCATAAAAAAAAATTGACAATACACAGCCTTAGTACAGGGTTACTTATAGTATGACGGAAGGAGATAAAAAATATGTAAATATATATATACTGGAATATATGATAATTAGCACATGTATTTTATACTCAAATAGATTCTCTCTCTCTCTCTCTCTCTCTCTCTCTCTCTCTCTCTCTCTCTCTCTCTCTCTCTCTCACTCTCTCTCTCACTCACACACACACGCTCAAATATATACTTAATATAATAAGATGACAAAGACATACTTGCTCCTTCTGCCTGAGGAGGGCTTCCAGGCGGTCCAGCTCCTCCCTGAGGGACCAGATCTCCCGCTTGAGGTGCTCGTTCTCGCGACGCAGCTTCTTGAGCTCGCTCTGGCCTAGAGAACCGACCATACTATTATTAGCGGCAGCCTCGCTGCTCCACCTCCGATAGTCCACTAATAATACCCGATCCCTACCCCATGGCGGCTGTAAACACCTCCCTGTTCCAGCCGCACAAATCTTACTTACTCATTTTGTCTTGTTTTATTTTTCTTCTTACTGTCAGTCTTAATTAGTTCGGCCTAACAGATGGTATCGTATTTTAAGGGTGTCTGGCAATATCCTAATCGATACTCGAGAGAAAGAACCTTGATGGTTGTGCGTAGAAATTACTCGGACATAAGTGGTTGTATTCCGTATCGTTGTTGTTTTCTTGTTTTTTTTAAATAAACAGAATAATTAAATTTATTGTAAATGTCATCAAGTGACATTTCATAACCTTCAATAACTAATATGAATTTTCCCTTAATGAAATCAGATAATTGTACGCTTATTACAACTATATCTAATATATAAAAGAGTTCGTGTCATTTCAGTGCACTTACTATATATTTTTATCCATAAATAAAGTTTATATTCAAGAAAACATTCTTAAAAGTTCAGCTGTATCAAAAATGTACTCTTTTTGCAATAAACCGACGATATTTATACTAATTAAATTGAAACCAATCTTTTGAATAAAAAGTTAAATAATTAATATTTTTTATATATTCTTTATAATCAGATCGGCTTAGTGAGCCATACATCGGTTTATTAGCAATAAGTAAATTTTTAACAGTTGGTACAGTGAGGGTAGAGTATCGTACAAAAGACCCTCTTAACGGTACATGATGTCTATAACTACAGAATAGTAAAATTTGTAGAACAAATAGATAATATTACAATAAATAAATCTAATGAAAAATAAATAAATAATAAATAAATAAAATATGTATATGATATTAAAAAATGTATATATATATATATATATATATATATATATATATATATATATGTATATATGTAAAAGTAGCATTTAACATTGAAACTCTGATATAATATATATAGTTTCTATGTTGAATTCTACTACACCCCTAACTGCTGGTAATGGAGAATGATATTTGGTAAAGCGTTTTTTTATGTATTGGGTTGTCAAATAAGTCCTTTCGGTTTTCAGGGTAAAATAAAACTCAATTTATTATACAAATACAATTTTAATCTGCAATATATTGACCATTATTTAATATGACTTTTTCCCATTTTTCCACTTACTGCATATTGCCATGTTCATAGAAAGTCTGGAGTTGATTGTTAAAAAATTGATCCAAGTGTTTTTTTATGTCCTTTTCCTTTTGGAATTTCTTTCCATATTTCAAAGGACTATCCAAATTCTGAAGTTCACTTTCGGATGCTCTGTGACATTGATACTGAATCTGAAAACAATCAGTTCAGTAGTCAAGGAGCAAAGCGGCGGACGGCTGGATTTTCTTTTTATTAGATTTTTGAATTCTACGTATCTTGAAACATAAAAACTCAAATTTTGTGGAATTGGATTGATTTTTTCTTGGTTGTTTATTGAAAATAATAAACCAAACATGAAACTTGAATAGGGCCGCTTTTGGGAATAAATAAATTTCATGGCCCATTTTTGAACAAACAATAGTCTTTTTTTTTTTAATATTTAGAGCTGCAGAAGCTCGTAGAAAAAATTGCAGTGTTTATGGGAATGATGCTTTAACCGAAAGAACCTGTCAAAATTGGTTTGTAAAATTTCACTCAGGAAATGTTGACATCAATGATGCTCAACGATCTGGTCGCCCACATGAAATTAAAACGAGCAATGTTAAGGCCATTGTTGATCAAACCCCACCCAATAGAAAGCATAGAAAACTATTTCCATAATTTCGGCTGTGTTTCCAAGCTTAATGTTTGGGTCCAACTAATTTGGGTCAAAATATGATTTTATTCCAGAATCACAAAAAATGTTATAACTTCAATACGGCTTTAGCTATCTACAAGAAATTTAGCTGGAATTTAGGACCACATAAACTACACAAAATGACATCAACAGGACTTCGTAAACAAACTACAAATGGAGATAAAAAATAAAAACCTATAAGGAGTTTTTGTTTCTTTATTCCTTATGTAGCCATTAAATCAAAAAAAATATTCACACGGCTTTGATGATCAATAATTCAGCTTTGATGATCAAGAATTCAGCTTTTCAACGGATATAGTAACATCGAATTTGAAAAAACATTCTGAAGAGTTATGAATGATCGGAAGGATGTGTTCCACCAAGACAACGCTAGGCAATACACCTCATTGGTCACTCGCAATAAATTATTGAGCCTTGAATGGGATCTTTTGCTCTACCCTTCCTATTCACCAGACCTAATTCCAAGTGACTACAACTTATTCCGGTCTCTGCAGAACTCTATGAATGGAAAGAAATTCCAAAAGGAAGAGGACATCAAAAACTACTTGGATCAGTTTTTTAACAATAAACTCCAGACATTCTATGAACATGGCATAATGCAGTTTGGGAAAATATGGTGAAAAATCATATTAAATAATGGTCAATAAAATGTAAAATTTTGTCTATAATGCACGTTTTGTCTCACCCTGAACAACCGAAAGGACTTATTTGACAACCCAATACTTTCAGATTTAAAATAAGAGTTTTTGGCCACATAAGTAATTGGTGCGTCAACGGTAACAAGTTACATTATGAGAAAAATATCATTATTGCCGAGGATTGATGTATTTTTGATATTTCCTCTCTCCATTCACATAAATTAAATATATTTGTTCATAACTGAATTAATGTAGGTGGCAATTGGCGTGATACGTTTGCATTATAGTATATAATTTAAAATCATCTTTCAAATTCTAAAAATGTTGTTCATTAAGTTTATCCACTTCACCTTTCAGGTATATTGGTTTGATGCTTTACCCGAGAAAAAACTCTTATTAAGGAATAAAAAACATAATAACAAGAAAAAATACGTGAATGGAAAAGTGTGAAAACTCTGTCATTAAAACTGACTAATGAACCGCAGTAGTTTAATTAATCTTCAGCCAAATATCATTCAAAGATTTAGTTTTTTAAATTAATAATTCACAATGAAGAATTTTATATTAAATTCTAGTATTAATTCATTCATTCTAAAAAGTAATTTTACTCTATTATCTAAGTGTGTAGAGACAATAGGAAAATAAACTTGATATAAGTAATTACAAGTATTTTAAAATAGAAAATTAAAAGTTCCTCCTGTTAAAGAAATCATCGGATACAGGACGTTCTCAGTAATACAAATCCCCAGTAATCCGAAACCCTCGGTAATCCGAACAAGAAAAAAAAAGAATAAACCGAAATTTTCAAAAATTTTGTGTGGAATTTTTGATAATTTTTTTTTGTCCTTGTAATTCATTAGTCGACTACTTACTCATCTCCAAAGAAAAAAAATCTGGTGTGTCCACTCACACAAATTTCCTACCTATTTCAGAAAAGTTTTTATATCTTTAAATAGGTCCATCAAGGAACAAAAAAAAACTGAATTAAAATTATTTTCCTGAAAATTGATCAAAGAAAAGATTTGTGGACGATTTATTCGATAAACTAGAGCAATGTAAATCGGCTTAAGGTAGATCAGTATACAAATCTCAATACTATCTAATATTGCTGATCAAAAACTTTTTGCCATAGCCTAATTTAGGCAAATAATTATTTCGTGAAGCTTGTGTGATGCGGGCAACAGATTTTCCAACTTCCACTTAGTTATCTTTTTTCGCTCATTCACTGCTTTTTGACACCAGGATATGAACAGGTAATCTTACATTGGAAATTGAATAGCTGTAACTTCGTTAATAGTTGTCCGAAATGAATTATTTTTATCATGCTGTATCTTCTCTAGTACTGGTTCGACTCCAATGATTTTTTTTGTTTTGTTGGCAATTTAATTACATTTCAAAATTTTTATTATTAATCTTATCATAGAATATATACTTAGCCACTTAGGTCCCAAAACGTTCTTCCATTCTTTATAAATTCTTTTCCTAAAATTTTTCGGGATTTAGTCCATATTCGAAAATTGAAAGAAAAATTATTGGAACATTATAGGAACGCTTCATCTAAATCGTTACAGCCGTTTTCGAGCTACAGTCTATAGAAAAACATGTTTTTCATTTATTGCGCATGGAGCACTCAATTTGTGTCACATGCACTAGTAGTCGAAAACCTACAAAAAAAAAGAAAAAGAAAAAAGAAGCAACAAAATCGGTTTATTAGTTCCCGAGAAAATGTTGGAACAGACAGACAGACTTATGACTAAAAATGTGTTTTTCGGACTCAGGGGACTCGTATTGATAGGAAACGGATTGATCAGTCAAAAACCGCATATTGGGAATTTGACCCGATTGCAATACTTTTGTTACCTAGTATAGGTAGGAAAGTAAAAAAGTTACAGTATTCGAGAGACAGAATGGAAACGGCTATTTCTCAGTACATATTACAGTACCTTATAACCTCCCTTATATTTCCCCACTTCAACTACGGCTGTTTGGTGTATGGAGGGCTATTTGCCAGGTTAGAAATAAGATTAAAGAACTGTTATAAGATATATCTACAACTGTTATAAGATACGTCTTTGGATACAGAAGCGATTCCACGTTTCATTCAGGTATATCGATTTAAAGTGGCTTTATCCTATTTCCCGACGACAATTCCTACTTGTTTTTTTTTCTTTTCCAAGTCCTCAGAACCAAAAACCCTCCCTACATCCTGGAACTCCTTCCTATACGTTCCTCTATCCACTCTCCCAATACCAGATCTCAACCTATAGATTTATAAATTCCCTCCCATAAAACAACTTTCTTCGTCATTCGTGCTGCCTCCTTTTAGAACTCTCTAGCTAACTCCATACTTCAATTCTCGCCCACGAATTCCTTCAAACAAATACTGTTCCACCTCCTACTCCAAAGTCAAACTTCCGCAAACATGTAAAATTCACTTGCGTCTGTATAAAGTCTGATTCAATTAACTGTGCAGTTGCAATAAAAATCAACAGTTAATTAG